ACATAAATTAAAAATAAAATAAAAAGAAATGAAACAAATGGGAGGTGTAGTAGTAAACCAGAAATGAACTACAACCAAGGCAAAACGTGATTGGGCTTCAAAACAGAGGGGGGCGAATAACAATTCAAGCCCAGATGACCCAAGGCTTCAGCGTTTAATGAAACGTTGCGCTTCATTAAAGTGACGTGGGATTCAACGTGCCACGCAGCTTGGTCAAGCAAATCAGGAGGCAACACACGAGCAAGTCAAACTTTCAAACTAGTCCACCTCAGCACTAATCAGAGGAATGACTATATGCTAGAGCTAGGGCTCCGATCATCTTCTCCGGCCAGCTCGCCGGAGACAGTCATAAAACCTCAATAAAAATGCTAGAACTTAGCCCTTTCTACAAGGATCTCAAATCCATAAATCAAACATAAAAAAGGTTCCAAGATAAAGAGAATCGAAGGTTTGAAATTCAAACATGTCCACTGAAAATGTCATCAAACAAACACAACAATGAACCAAACATGGCCTACCATAGGTAGGGCTTCAGATGCAACCTAGCATGCTCTTAGAAAGTGCCTAGAATGAGAGAAAATAGAGAGGGAAACTTACTGAACGGAGCAACTCCGTTGGTTCTTCACAGGCACACAAACTCTACTTTCTTGCTTCCAACTCACTCCTTATGCTTTGAGGAGGAAGATGCAAGATCCAATTGAGGTTGATTTGAAGAGAAAAACCAGATTCGAAAATGGAAAGTAATGAGAAAATTTTAAGTTCTCTCTGCTCTCTCCAGCTGCAATCACCTCTTCTGATGATTAGGGCAAGCAAAAAAAGCTTTTATACGATGGGTATTTCCACACCATGCAAGCCCATGCTAATTCATTTGAGTGATTTCAAAAAATGGCCAGAAAAAATCAAATTTCACATACACACGGGTTTTGCCTCAAATGATCTCTTTTGGGTCAGCATTCTTACATTTGGGGTGTGTGGAACACAATGTAATTGATTTGGTGGTTGTAGCATGAATAGGCACAAAGTTTGGTGCATGAATTATTTGGTATGAAATTTGAAAAAGGTGACCTATAATCCCACTTCATGTTAGCACAAATGAGGAAATTGTCTTCATGATCATGTATTGGTGTACAAAAGTTCAAATATGAAGCAAAAATATGACTTGTAAATGAAGTAATTCAATTCATGACCAAAACCCTAATTATCCATCTTGAAATGGCTCACATGACCACATAACTCCACAAACTTCATGAATTTTGGGCTCAATGAGGATTTAAGACTCTTATGCACAAGTTTCATGTTGGTCAAAATTGGATTTGAGGCCTATAAATTCATGACAAGGACCATTGAAACAAATGACCTATAATAATTTTTTTCCAAAAATACCCTTGACTTGTTAAGACCATAACTTGAGTTTCACACATGAGAAAGAGGATTTTTAGGACTTTTGGAAAGCTAATATCATGAGGAACAACTTTCATGTTCACTTTAAGTTGAGGGGAAACTTTCTTCTAGGTCAAAAATGCCTTGGAAGTGAGTTGAGTTTTGTTGACCAAAATTCTATTCATCTAAGACCCTTGGCTTGTTGGCACCATAACTTGAGATGTACCAACTAAATGGATGAGTTCTAGTACTCAAAAGAAAGCTAAGAACATGCCCTATAAGTCTCATGTTTTCATGAAAAGGAGATTGAGCTTGTATCATGGGGTAAAATGTCCTTGAAGTTAGGCACTAAAGAAGGGGATTTTACACTGACAACCTCTGAAACCCTAATTTAGTGACTTCTTCAACTCTTGATTCCTTTTGATTGGATATTATCATGACATCTTATATGTTTTGAGATGACTCCCGATGGCCTGTGTGGCTTTAAAACCAATTTGGAAACCTTTCAAGTCCACAGTTGACCTTGAGTTGACCAGATGAAACCCTAGTTCCATATCTTTTGATTGTGCCCTTTGTAGATGAATTGAATGATTACCCAAGCTCCACAATGACCCCTAAGGTACTTAATGAACTTTTAAACCATGTTGTAACGTAGAACAAAGCCTCATGAATCCATGAGGATCCTCTGATGATCCCTAAGATAGGAGATAACATCCACACACCAATCTTTTCTTTCAAAGAGCTTTGAAACTTCCATGATGATGACCAACCTTTGATGGCTTGCACAAATACCTCTTGCTTGATCTTGAAACCAAATAGACCCTCCTCTTGAATGGCACAAGACATCTCTTGATTCCCTATATAGAACAATGCTATGCAAATGCTAAAATGCAATGGAACACAAGCCAAGTTAAGAAGAAAAAGGTTGGTCAAATTTTGGGGTACAACACAATGGACCTCTTGTATCCACAATCCGGATAACAAGGATTCGAACAAACCCTATAAGAGAAAAAATCGTTCTCCTTATAGTCAACACCTAAATCCAAACAATCCTTGAACTTTTAGGATTTTACAATGGTTCTGAATTTTTGAGTAAGTAGATGAAATTTTGATTCTTCAAGATATCAATTACAAGATAGATCTTCTCCTTTGTTACACTCAATTATCAAGACAATAATACAAGTATTCTTTGTATGCAAATGAAACAATGATGATTAATATGAAGGTTTATGCAAAGTTTCACTTTTGAAAAAAATTTGAAGAACACTTAGAATGTTTTTGAAGATTGAGAGAAATATTGATTTGAAATTTTTGTAAGGAGGTAGGGTGTAAAGAAATATAGAATGATGTTTATATATGCCTATGACACCTCTACAGAAGGTTACAAATCATGCAAGGATGCTGTGGTTGATCAGAAGAAACAACAGAAAAATTTATGAAGGGATGCAATAAGATTTTTGGCTCTGCTTCAGTGGTAACTAGTTACTCTATAAAGGGTAACTGGTTACTTGATTGTAACGTTAGAAAATTTTAAAAGTTTTGACAGTGTAACTAGTTACCTTGTAGAGAGTAACCGGTTACTTCAAAACAGAATTGAAAAAATGCTTAAAAACAGAGTTTCAAAACCATTTTATTGCAACCAAAAAATGTTTCTAAGGGTCATGACATAAATGAGGAATATGATGAACACTTGTATCAATGCATGAGTTTAAGTGTTATACCTATTCCTTTGAGCTTCAATCTTCATAATACCTTGACACTTGTAGAGAGTTGATTTTTGAGCAGGAGAACTTGATCAATCCTTTTTGTTAATCCATCTTGTCTTTATGAAAAACTTTGTAGGTGAGTCATCATCAAAACATCTAAGAAGCTGTGTCTTCACATGATAAGTTTGCATGGTGTAGGTCTTCTTATGGTCTATTAGAGGCGCAATCAACATGGAGTTGAAAAGGTAGAGAAGATTTTGGAAGATCACAAACATGACTTTAAGTGGGAGATTGTTAAAGATTGTGGTCATAGTCAAATATTTTGGTCATGGTAAAAGATTATGGTCAAAGATTGTGGTTGAATAAAGTCACAATTTGTGGACCAAGAAAAAAACACCCATGGTTTTGCACGCGTGGTTTTGTAGCAACACCCATGGTTTTGTGAAGATGAACATCTATAAATATAGGTGCATTTCTCATTCTTAATAGAACAATACAGAGCATTGCAATATAACATAAAAGAAAAATTTAGAGAGATATAATATATTGTATTTTCTCCTATAAGGTTCTTTTAGTGAGTGTTCTTCTATTACAAGATAGAGTGTAATTTGTTCTCTCCTTGTATATAGAGAAAAGTGTTGTAATTTCTTCTAATTAATTAAAATCTTTTTTACCGGTACCCGTGGTTTTTCTCTCATTTGTTGAGGGTTTTTCACGTAAATATTTTGTATCACTTTTCCTACTCTTTAATCTTTTATTTTTTAATATTTATCTTGTTACTCTGATACCCAACAACAAAATATTTTAATGCATCAAAAAATGAGACTTAGCATAATATCAACACTTTATCTTGAGTTGAAGATTGTATTGAAGTTAAAACTTCATCTTGTAAAATAGTATCCAGCGAAGTTGGATCAACAACTCTTTTAACAGAGGTGTTGCTAGAACAATTGGACGAACTCCAAGTTTGATTGACAAAAAATAGTTGGATGTAAAAGAAAGTTTGTTCCACATATTGACTCGGCTACATATGACATAGATAAATAGTAAGTACATTATAATTTAAGGAGGATGAAGCATATAAAAACTTATATTGAAGATTAAGAATGAGGACATACAATTGATTCATCTTGAACGTCACCTCCAACTTTTATGTCCAATTCCAATACAGCAGGCTTTGAAGTTTGAAGTATGCTGATTCAAACATATGATAATTTCAAAGATAATCTACTAAGAAATCAATTTTAAGTTAAAAAAATGTTAATTAAGAGTGGGTTTGCTTTGAAGATTATCACAAAAGAGATTCTCACACAAAAATTGAACAATAATATACTACCGTTGAGATGAAAATATATTTATTTAATTGAGTGAAAAATATTTGATAAGCATCCAAACATATATAATTTTATCTTCAATTCATTTTTAATGAAAAAAAAATCAATTTTACAAAAACAATTTACTAGAAATTGACTTTCATAGTTTATAACACAAATACTTATCAAAATAAATGCGTATGAATAAACTCACCAAGTTATTTTTATAACAAAAGATAACAAAAAAAAAATAAAAGATATTATAAGTTATAAGTTATTTTAATTAAATCTTCTATTAATTCCATAGGAAGATGCTCTAAAAGCAAAACAAATATATTCATTCTCTTTGGATTGCAAGAATATATCATCTCAAATCAATATTTCGCAGAAACGTTTTCCTGTGTAAGATTTGGATCTATTTTTCTCCTCACAACTATTCAATAGAGTAAGCTTCAATACATATTTTATGAAAAAAGAGATATACACACAAACTTTTATGAAAAAAGAGATATACACACAAAATTTTAATAGGTCCTATGAAATATGAACATGAGAGGATCACACAACACAGCCTATACAATAAGATAGATTTCAATTTTGATTACTCTTGTGATTCATTAGAGTTTACTTTCAAATTGTCTTCTTGACTCTGCTCGATTTGCTGAGTTCTTTCTTCTGGAACAAGCCGCCCAACTTTTGGATACTTTTCTATGAACTTATACTCCCAGTCCTCTAAGATTGTGAGCTCTGATTCGGCCAAACCTTCGAGGTTTCCGTTAATATCTTGAGGTTTAAAAGACAGGAGAGCAAGGGCTCGGCTACATTCCTTTCCGGCAAACATTGTATACGATCCTCCTGGACCATAAAAATTCCTGCATATACATAATCATGTAAAGTCTATCAACTCATTATGGAGAAAAGAAAACAACAGGTCAAAATACATTAACAACAGTACTATAAAACCACTATAACCACTATTTGACAATATTTTATATCGAATAATATTATCGTATTGTAGAACAATAGCGATTTGTTCAAACTCCTTTACACCATAACTGCTATTTAACAACATTGGAATCGCCACGTCTAAACTACTGATAATGATTGTGCTTATATACTCAACTCAAACAAGTGTTCCAACTTTTGATTAATCCACAAAAAGTATTGTCCACAATTGAACTCTGAAAATGTATAATGCATGATAATTGAATGATATGCGTCATTATATAAGTTCAGATCATTTGTGCAGGCAAGCATTAAAATAATTTACAGATTTCTGTAATCTAAAAAGATATTTCTCAGTACAATAACACTGTCATTTCAGTGTGTGGAAGTGCATGCATATCTTGAGAGAGTAAACATTCAAGTCAGTTCCTGAACAACTAAATTCAGTCCCAACCTATGAACCTATGAAGCACGGATTCTGACACAGACACCCCAGACACCCGAACATCATCGATAATGTCAAAATATAGGATACCGACCCTGCTACCTATATGATAATCCGTCTTGCACGCGATCCCTAAAATATCATCCGAGTATTAAATAACATATATCATTTAAGCTAACTCATTACAATTTTCAAATATATATTTGTCAATTAGCAAAAATTCATAAACTATTTAAACCAATATTTACTAAATAAAAAAGTCACAATTTACGCATCAACATGCACAAAAAATATATATATAAATAATGAAAAAAAATTGAAATTACCTCCCCTCGGAGACATCATAGATCTGTCCTCTAACAGAAATCAAAATCGGTTTACTTTTATCCGACCCATTATACAACCGCAACTCCGATTCAGTAATTTCACCAACCGGAACCGGTTCTCTCCGCGGCTCAGCCACTTCAAACAGCGAACCGGACCGAGCCGAAACAACCGGCGGTTTATTGAAATCTTGAGGGGAAACAAACATGGAAGAAACAGTTCGGTAAACAATGAACGTTAAGAATGCGATGGTGAAGAAAGCGGTTGGAGAAAGACCGGTGTAGAATGATATTTCGTTCGTTATGGTTGAGTAGAATCCCATTTTTGAAATTGGAGTGTAGAAAGGAGGAAGAGAAGAAGAGAAGGTAGGTGAGAGTAGTGGAAGCTACCAAACAAAAATAGGTAACTCAGTTTTGATAATCCAAATCTACTTATTTGTTTACCAAATAAATATGTGATTAAGAGAAAATAAAAATACTTTGTTAAAATAATGTTAAACAAGTTTTAATTTCTCAAAATTAAACCCAAAATAAATTCATTAGAATGAAATAAAGGAAAATTACACTCACATTCTTAGTGACATTTAAAAACTGTAAATAGATATTTTATAAACTTCCGATTTTTAATTGTTATAGGAATTTTAATGTCATTTTGATAAATTTAAAGAGAGGTGAATGTAATTTACTTTTTTTTAGAAGAATATAAAATTTTAAACATAATTTTAAAAGAAATAACAATAATTCAAATTATTTAAAAGATCATTTAACATAGAAAAGGAAAAAATACCTTGGTGTTTTAAGAAAAAGAAAATGCAGAGAAAAACATCTAAATTGCTAAAAAAATATCTTTGTTATATATTTAGATTAACTCTCTTTTATGTTAGTTTTAGGAAATGGGAGTTCAAAAGTGGAGTTTATCGTGGGTCGTGGACAATATCAAGGGTATCCATTAGGGCCATTTTTATTCTTAATAGTAGTTTTTTCACAATGTTGTGCAAAACATAAATTTTATGGGCTATAAGTTACGAATGAGCTTAATTTTGACATTAAACAATTTGCGGATGACACTATTGTATTTGGAAAAGGGGCATGGAAAAACTTATGGCGTATCAAAACAGTCCTGAGAAGTTTTGAATTAGAATCTGGACTTCAAATCTACTTCCTAGCTTAATGGGATAAATTTTGTTGAACTTTTTGCATTAATTGCGATCTACACCTAGCCGTCTTAATTGCAACACTTTGACTTGTCTTATTACATTCTCTAACACCTTTATTGTATTGGTTTTGAAAGGGTGAAATTAGTTTCACATTACTTAGAGATATAGTTTGTGTGGTGTTTATAAGTTGGAGCAATCCTCACCATACAACCCAGTTTTGTAGGTTGTGAGTTAGACCAAACCCAAAATCTAATATGGTATCAGAGCCTATCCAAGATCCTTTGTTGGGCTTCCTTCATCTTCACTCTTTGAGCTCATTGAGGCCCAAGCGTAAGGGAGTGTGTTATAATTTTTGGGAAAGAAAGCTTGGACCAATCGATTAGTTCAAGAATGTAATCGATTGACTCCTTTTAAAATTGAGATTTTTGGTCAGAATGTAGGGAACAATCGATTGGTTACCTAGTGTAATCAATTGGCCCCCTTTGAAACGTGAAAAATCAGTGAAAACGAGGAGTCGGGAACAATAGATTGGTTCCTGGGTGTAATAGATTTGTTCATTTACTGTTTTCACATAACTTGAGTTTCGTGGCTCAAATTAATGTGTGGTTTGAAGCGTTAGAAACTAACACACAGAGCTACATTATGGTAGTTCCTTGTGAGATGAATTGACATGCTTGAATGATGTGCGAGCTACATTATGTTAAATGCGTGAATGTATGAATAATTGTGTGAATTATTATACATGCTTAATGATGAATAAATGTTAAGATGATTTAACATGATTTAGTGTTGTGTGTGGATATGTATTTGATGTGGTGTTCTTGCAAAAAGAAATTTTAGTTACGTGATTTATTGTATATGCTTGTTGATGATTGATGAGATGAGTAGTTCGGGGGAGAACTACTGGTGATGCATTGAATGCATTCTCATTTACAATCAGAGTGGGGTTGTACTCGTTGTTATGTTATTGTTGTTGCATGATCGTTTACTGTCAAATCCGAACTATATTCATTACTATGTTATTTTGGTCGTATGATTGTTTCCAGTCAAAATGGAGCTGAATTCATTGTTGTGTTATTGTCATTGTATTGTGACGTGTCATTCATTATATGTAGTCGTTTTTGTGAAAAAGGCATGTTTGCTAGTTCATAGTGGGGACTAGTTACTTGTCTCAAGCTCATAGTGGGGCTTGGAGCTAAGAATGGTGGCTCGGGGTTTGCACTTGATTGGAACCTGGTTCGTATGAAGAACCAAATGTTGAGTCGGTACTGCATGCATATAGAGTTGAGTTGTGAGTCTGGGACTGTGACGAGTATGAGTTGAGTCAATGTTGCATTGCATTACATTATGGTGAAATGTTTGTGTAATGATGAGTAATCTCATATATCTGTGTGAGCTTGACTATGATGTGGGTGGGATGTGAATCATGACCTTGAGGTGCATATTTGATATGTGTATGACTCTGTAGTGTGTGAATATATCCAGATTGTTTTATGCACCGTTTATTATTTGAATGTATTTTCACCCTCTTTTGTGATCTTGTGTTTGTGCTCCTTTGGAGTACAAATAATCAGGTACCTGAGTAGGAGCTTCAGGTCGAGGACGGTGTTGTGCCTCGTTAGTTACTTGTTGATCAATACTTATAGTTAGAGTCGCTATGATTTGTAACACGAGGAGAACAAGTTATTCTGTTATTTATTGTATGTTGCATATATTTCTGTTGATTTTTGATAATGAACCACTTTATGAACTAATAATGTTGTTGAGGCTTTGATAAATGCTAAATTGTACTGATTTTGTGTGTGAATAATTGGCACTTATTAGCTTGATTTGTTGGTTTTCCGTTAATAATCCTCTGTTTTTGTGTACTTTTTGTATAGTTTACTGAAATTCTGGTATGCAGATCACATGTGTTCCAAGAACATTGATCTCTGCTCAACAAGGACGAGGACAGATCATGACCAATTTAAATTTCTTTAAATTGTCCCAATGTCATGACCAATGTCACAACCTCTATTGTGACATCTGCAGTCTGTCATGTTATTTGTTGCACCCCAAATTTTGACCCCTTAGATCTTCATCATCATTTTAGGATCATATTCATTTGATTATTTAACCTTAACCTACTTCAAGTTTTTCTTTGTTAAGTCACAGGTGAACCAGGATTCCGTACAGTCGGAAATCGAGGTTTCAGTGGTTTGATCAGTCAATGCCTTGGATTGATTGTCCATGAAGAATGTCTCTACACCATCAATAATACTCCATTGGGTCAAGCATGAGTCCAATTTGAGGTTGTCACACAAAAATCAGGAGCAGTGCAGTTCAGGATCCCCGATTAGGGTTTTTGATTAGGAAAAGTCAATTATGGTTTGACTTTTGATTTTAAAGGTGTTCCAATGATGGAATTATGGTCCATGAAGCTCGTATGACTTATTCAAGTCCCCTCAAGAAGTTTCAAAGTCTCGGAAGGCCCAGAACAACAACAGCCGACTCGGTAGTCATCGATCGATCGTTCGGTTGATCGAAAAGTCAACTCTTCAACCATAAAGAATTTGACCTTAAAGTATGAATCAAAAATGTTTATAATGTCATATTACACCTATCCATGAAGTTTCATGACCATTGGATCAAGGATTGGGGAGTAATCGCAAAAATCAGGAATTAGGGTTTTGAAAGGGGCAAGACCATAACTTCCTAACCACACATCCAATGGAGTTGGTTCAAAGCTCATTGTAAAGCTCTTGACAAGTCCTACAAAAGTCCCACAGTGGTCCATGAGCATAAAATGCATAGATTTGGAGTTATGACCAAATTCATTACAAGAGGGAAAAATAACTTATAAAAATTCTAAGTTATTGGCCTTTTTAGGCATGTTTTTAGCCAACTTTGAGTGGATTTTTGACCTAGTTCCATTTGGAATCTGAAGATCATGAAAACATGAAAGTTGTAGAGCTACATGAGGGCTTTCCAAAATGTACTAGAACTCCTCCATAGACCTTATGAGATGAGAGTTATGAATCAAGGAAGTTAGGGGTGCAACACATGAATGCATCATTCCAATTTTTCCACAAATCCACTCTTCAATCACTTGAACCATCCTCAGTCATTGGATCATGTGTTAATCTGATAATTAAGAGGTTTTATGGTTAGAGATGCAGGAGAAGTGAAGGATGTGAAGGAAGAGCAAGTTGCAATAAAATAATCAAGAAATTCAAAAGAGGAAAGAGAAACTTTTTGGCTCAAACCTGTAGCAGCTGTGACATCTACACTCTATGCTCTATTCAGTCACCTCAAGTCACTCCTTCCACTTTATTTTCTCCTTACATTGAGCAAAGAGAATGATGTATGCAGCTGCATCAAGATCTTGTGCAAGATTTCTTCAAAATCTCCCTCCAAAAGCCAAACTTCAAATTTGCCCCAAACCTCTTAATGACCTATAAATAGAACCTTCCTCCCACTCTATTTAACACACCAGAGCCATCCTAAACACAAAAAACACATGGCTCTCCTTCTTTCCCTATTTACTTGAAAGTGAAGAAAAACACCAAAATTGGTCATTTTACATTTTTCACACCAGATCTTGTTCCAAACATTCCACCACTTCAAAAACCATATACACAAACTTAAAATGACCATTTGAAGCTATGTCCACCATTAGTTTCATCAAAAGAGCCATGAATCGAAAAGTCAACTTCTCTCACACCATAGTTTGACTTTTGTGCATCTTTCATACCAAATCACTACCTATCACCATTCCTAACATTTTAACACTCAAAACACCTCATGTTCATGATATTATAGCTATCCATAAGCACAAACACCATCTGGAAGTCTATTTTCCCAAACTGTCCTCAAGAACCATTTGTTGCTTCAAAAGGAAGAAAACTCAAAGCTTGCTCAAAGGAAGGAAGAATCTCTGGTTTTCTTGGTTGCTGGCTAGCTTTTGGAGGTCTACAAGAGGTGTGTTATTTTGAAATCATTTACTAGTATGCATTTCCATATATTGCTTTGTGGTTGAGACTGGTGTGTGCATTGTCATGATAAGTTTGGTATTTGCTTCTGTTTCAAGCAAGATGAGTTGATCATTGTTAAGGTGCATGAACAACTTTTGCCATAATCCAATATTCTAATCATGTCAAGTATTTGCTCTTTATTGTTTGTGAACA